GTAGCACGTGCTTAGGCATACAATACATACATTGTGTAGATAGAAAGAACATACCAAAACCATGGAGATACATGAAGGTAATGCTTGAGAAAGTCTTGTAAAAGTCACAGGTCTTCTAAAAGAAACATCAGGGTCTTGTTTAGCTTTTCTAAGAACCAAAATTATTAAATATAAAGTATCTTCCACAGTTGGGGTCACACTAACTTTTTATGGACCTTAGGAAAGGAGTTTGTAGTTAGAGAAGTTATCTGGGAAAATGTGTTAGTAAGTGATCCAAAAATACCAATGATAGAGGGCTCCTTTGTAGATGCTCAGTGCAATTTCCTTCGAAGGTACACAGATTAAGGAAGCTGTGGTGCTGAATGTCTTCTTACTGAGCTTGCAGCTTAGCATGCCACTGACCACAACATTAGTGATATTTTCCCACAGCATGGGAACTTAAAATCCATGTAAGAATAAAAGTTATTGGGCTTTTTCAATGAATAATAAATGCAGGGATCCTACACCACACAAAGTTCTCAGAAAAGGCAAAACAAGAAAATGACAGAACAGCACTAGCTGTTACTCTGAACAACTTAAGATACAATAGTAAAGTAACTAAGGAGGTTTTTCAAGACAAAATTACTTGAATTTCATGAACATGACAAATTTGAAACAGAGCTGACAAGCAGTCTGGAATACTAGATGACGGATTGCTGCGAAACATAATTTTCACTTTAATAGAACAACAGCATGCACATAATTCTATCCCTCAGTGCTCTTCTGTAACAGCAAATTTAGTTCAAAAGTGCAGCCTTGAGAATCTGAATAGGAATCTATCACCATAACTGGAATGAGTGCTTCATTTGAAGGGTAAGGATTCTCTGTGCATATTAATTTGTTCAAAAATGTCCAGTATTGCTGCATGGGCCCTGGTCAGCATGCATCCCAGCAAAAAGCTTGTTCTTGGCCCAGCAGAAAGCAAAGACAATGTTTTCTTTTGCTTCAGCTGAGACACAAGAAGGCTGATAAGTACCCGTATGGTACTTTATTAAAATGACATGCGTTCTTTCTTGTGCCAGTGCATTTGGGGAAAAGCGGAGGGAAGGAAGTGGGGGGAGAGAAGGAATTTTTTAGGGGGAAAATCAGTTAGACAGGTTTAGAATTTTGTATTTACTAATGAACACGCTGATACATATATATTTACATATTTACATATTTATATATTTATATATTTATATATTTATATATTTATATATTTATATATAAATATATAAATATATTTATATATTTATATATTTATATATATAACTTTGCTCATCCCTGTAAAAAAAAGCTGCATGTGATAAAGTATTACTTCCAAAAATGCTAAATTTCAATTAAGTAAAGTTGAAAAGAAGTGAAATAATACATTTGACATTCTTAGGCTGTTGCAAGAAAAAGGACTATTTGACCACTCATGAAAGAAAAACAAAAGAGACAGCAAATTCTTTATCAGGCACATGAAGAACAGGAAACTATAAGACTGTATCCTTTGATATGTCTGTCAGTAAAAGTTTTTTCATCTAAGCTGCATTTGCAGGGGAAAAGGCAATTTACAAATTAGCTGTTTCCAGAATTCACGGCTTAAAGTTGGGAGCCTAATGAAAAATTTCTACTACTAAAATGTATGCACATTTAAACCTCAGTGTTTTATTCTAACAGAATTTAAATATATATCGTATACATTCCTTAAGTCTACTCTTATTAAATTTTGATGTTAAACAGAAAGGGGAAACCATGTGCAACTAGATTAATTTATCTCCAGGGAGTAAGGACACATTAATAATTGAGATAATGTTTTCATGTATGTTGGAATCAAGTGTGCCTTTCCACTTCATTATTAGAAAACACATTAGCGGAAAATTATCTCATTCTCATCAGTAAGACCTAATTGCTACAAAAGTCTCTGTTTCTTTGCAATAACAAAAGGATTCTTCTCACTACTTAAAAAGAAAAAAAAAAAGAAAAGAAAAAAAGAAAGAGATCAGAAACATTATCAAGCACTGCTGGAATAAATGCCTGTATTACCAAAGAGAGTGTTTATTTAATACACCCAGTCCTGTTTTTGTTTTAAACAAATCAGAGTTTATTGTATTTTTATAAAATACAAGCAAACTCTGGTTATAGAAGTGGGCCAAAGGGGAAAAAAAAGCACTACAACTGAAATGACTAATATTTTTGGCTTTCTGAAAGACTGATCTTTCTGTAAGTTATAAAAAATTATCTTGGCTGATTGCGAGAGAACTCTATAATTTCCCATGAACACCCATAGGTGTCAAGGCCTGTTGTGAGGTAATGGAATGGTATGTAATTTACTCTGAGTCGTTGTACATTATGCTGTATGGATTACATACAAAGCAAACATCGAGTGCATGGTGGGAACACTTGTGCAGACAGGCTGAAGCATATTTCCATAGCATTGAACTATACATCAAATGCAGTGCTTCTGATGTTTCCCACAACAAAGAGTATCAAAAAAAAAAGCAACTAAAACAGTAACTACGCTTAAAAGTGTTTGGCATAGCCCTTCTGTTTGCCTGGTGTACACAAAGAATTGTAAACTAAAACAAATATCTATCAACTTTAAAGTGCTGAGAGTAAAATATTAAAATGCAATTTTTGATACTAAAAATATGAAATTCTCTCCATAAGGTCCATCAAGACCTAATGCTGAAAAGCTAATCTGTAGACAGATTTGCATTTGCAGCTGTCTGGGAAATACTCGTGGAAGAGAGCTAACTAAAGTCACAACTTTATAAAAGGACTGATGATACATTCCTTTATCATTTACAGTAATTTAATCCACACTCCTATACCATGTAGACTAAATGAACACAGACTATTTAGATATATACTGTCATTTGCTTTTACGTATTTTCATGGATCAGGTTTTTTAAAATCACACACACTTTCTGATTACTTTCTTTTAATAGATTTTTCTTTATTAAACATTGGTTTTCTGATACATAAGGTATGCCAAATTGAAAGACAAAGCAAATGAGACACAGCAAAATTTCAGCTAGAGCTTAGAGTATGCTTTTCTTTGGTAACAGTTTTTGTCATTGACAGAAATAATTCAAGACCGTGAGCGGCCCAGCAATACATTATTATTAAATAAAATTGAATTCTTATTTTTAAGATAATTCAATTAAAATACATGCATTCGTTTTGCTAGCCAACAGGAAATATGTGTTGTGTGTTAAGAGCACAAGAGTAATCCTACACAAAAACTCAGCTGACAACCACTTACGGCCTGAATCTGATACATGCAACAGTACTGGTTTTTATTTTTTCCTTAGTATGTTTTTAGGTTTTGCTTTATTTAAAAAAAGCCCTGGCTTCTTTCATTGCTTCAAAACAGTTTTTATGTAACTTGAAATAAGATTTTAAATTCTTGCTTATTTAAAAAGATATTGTCAAGATCTGCAAATTTACTTGCATAAAATGAATTAATATTTTTTTAAAATAAATTGATAATGTAAATATTTAAGAAAAATTATCTGACTCCATTTATCTTATCTAAATTTCAGTATTTTATGTAATATGTGGATCTGGCAATCTCATTTTATTATTATATATTCTGTTAATTAGACTAGTCTAAACCACCTTTCTTAACTATTAGAGCCTCCAACATAATTTTAAAGTGTTACATAAAAATATGTGATTGATAATATATCCCAAAATACTGTAATTATAATCAGTGGGCTTTTGTAGGAACAGATTTAAATCCAGATTATCAATATCTGCTGTACAAGAGAAATTCTACCTCCACTGGAAGCAGCCACAAAATTCTCAATTCATCCAATTCTACTGATCGCATTCAAGTGTGTTCTGAGACTGATCTTTTTAATGTGAAAATCTCATTCTTGCCACAGTGACATTTTTGAGTAAATACCTTGAGACAAAGACTCAGATGTGTTGTTTAATATTTGTTTACACGTAGGAAAGCATAGGAGCTCCTGCTCTTCCACACCCATAAATATCTTTCAAATATCAGTTCACTTTCACTGTACACACACTGAAGACAGCAAAAACACTCTGCATCTTCACGGATTCCTTACATTCTGAAGATTTGGATTTGATCTAGATGAGCAAATATAACAGATCTATGGGTGTGTTTCTACTGACTGTTGCAGCCTGTTTTGAGGCAAGCAGAGATTGCAGCTACAGAGGACTAAGCAGAACTAAAAAAATTACACCTCCCAGTACAAATCAAAGAAGAAATTAATGGCAAGTGACTAGGAAGAGAATAAGCTCTTTCTGACAGACAAGCATTATAGGTTTTCCCTAACAGTTATCACCGTTAGCCTCTCCAAGACAGTGACAGATATTTTTAAAAAAATAAATTAATAAAACAACCTTGAGATACCTGAAAGTAGCTTTCACAAAAAAGTACTGGAAACCTCATTAGGCGAATGCATGGTAGGTACAGCACCAGAGCTGAACTAAACTGAACCAGCACTAACTCCTTGGCTCTGCAAAGGGTCAGGCTGTAGAAGAGGGTCCTGGGCTGGTTTCAGCAGCTGTCTTGGACTGGCTGGGGGCCACAGCAATGGTTCAGCACTCCATCTCAGCTCACACGAGCTGCTCTAACACGATACACCTGGGGATGTGACCTGAGAGCTCCATCAGCTCTTGTAACTCAGGTAAAAATATAGAAAGCACTGGGTGTTGTAGAAGTTTCAGACTTCTCTGATCAAGTCCCTCTACTGCACATTCGAGCAGCTCCAACAGTCAGCTCTTCCTCTGCAGACCAATTGGAGCTCTGTGCTGTCCACTGCTTTTCTGGCTACCTTTATCACAGCAAGGCTTTTGCTGGCACTGGCTACATTTTCAAACCTGCTTATTCGGTTTATTTGAATGGTGGGTTCGTTTGCTTATTTTCGCGGCTAGCTCTGGTGCTAGTACTGCATACAGTTACACTCCACGTTTACTTCAAAGAGATCAAATTTGACAAGGAAGGAAAGATGATAACTTACTTCCCAGAGATGCTGAGTGTTCCTGATGGCTCCTGCTTGAACCTTCTCTGGCAAGAGCAAGATTCCCTGGAAGGGCCCAATCCAGGTGCCCTGCTGGATCCGTTGTGCCGCACAGATGCCGTAGGCCAGGCCAGGCACGGTGCTGGTGCACAGGCACACTTCCCGGGGCAGGTCCCGGAGCCACTCGGGGATGTCGGGCGGCGGGGCTGCCGCGGCCGCGCTGCTGGTGCCCACCAGCCGGCGCAGGGAGTGCAGCGGCCCGTGCATGGGGCACTCGCCATTGCGGTTATCAGCACACATGTCACATCCTGGGGGGGACAGAGAGGGGAAAGCACAGTCAGCGCGGCGCTGCTGGCCGCCACCATCGCCGCGGCCGCGTGGCTCGCACCGCGCCCTTGGTGCGCTGCTGGGGCTGCCTGGCCAGAGCTCACCGGAGCCCGAAACAGAAATTCCAAAGGCCGAGCAGCAATCCTGCAGACAATTTGCAAGCCTGGTGTATTCATGAACCTGCCAAGATTCATTTACTTTAACAATGTTTTTAAGGATGAATTTTTTGACTAATAAAAATAGCCGAGTTAAACCATCCCAGTGCGTTTCAGTGAGACATTTTAAAACACAAGTCACAGCGCCTTACCAGTCCTCTCAACTGCGTTACCACAGCTCAGCCCAAGGGCTTAATTGGAACAAGACTTAATTTATTCCGTATTTTAAATGAACATTCACTCTGCTTTTTACATTAGCGTGTGTGTGTGTTCATGCCTGTCTGTTTGGAAAATAAAATAAATAAACCAGAACCTCGTGAATGACAAATTGGAGCCTGCATGCACATTTACTTTCCTAAAGACAAATATAATCTTAAAACTGAAATTGTGCAGTGAATTTTACTGGTTCCTAGCACACATTTGAAATTTTATTTATTGCATGGAAACGCATGTTCTTTGCCTCTTACATGTAACTGAAGTTAGGCAAAAGACCAAAACAGCACATCTGAGTTTGTAAGCAATTCCTGTGAAAAAGATCCGTTTGCAAAACTGTTAATATCCCCAACAGTTGTTAATAATGAATGATGTGTCTCCATTTTGGGAAGATCCTACCATGACTTCTCTTTTCTGAGCAAAGAAAATTTTGGTTAAATGTGTCCACTGCACACTATTCTGCACACCACAAATATACATCTTCCAGGAAAACGTTTCATGTTCAAGAAATTAATTTCTCTGGAGATATGCTGAGTTAACATAACAATGAATCTCTTCAGTTGCCATCTTCTTCACATTTCATTTTTGTAGCACAATAAAGGTTTTTCATATAAATTTGTTCCAGAAATACAAAGAAAAAACCTATAATTATGGTGTAGTACTCTTGTAGCAAGTCCTACATCTTTCTCCTAATAATTTTATGTACCACTCCTTATAAAAACAGAGCACAGCACTCACTACAGAAATGGGAGTTTCTTGGTCTATGCCACATATTTAGACTTGCTATACTGCCTGCAACCACAGTTTCAATTCTCAGGGGCCCTGACTCAGATGTTCTTCTTTCCGAAGTGGATGTACTATGTATTAAGTAGGCCTCTTTCCTTCAAAGGAAAACCTTCCCCTCATTTCAGCAAAAGCTGCTAAAGGACAATAAAAGATGCATCTTCAAATTACGGCTTCTACGAATACTCTCCAGTGTTAGACACCCTACATAGGCCCTCTTTCCTATAATCCTCTTTTAAATGTTACCATTAAAAAGTGGTGAATTCAGCAACAAGACATTATCACAAAGTTACATGTAGAAGCTAATTTCCCTCAAGACCATTACACCTTTGGGTCTTGCAGAAAATACTTGGCTCCAGCCAGTGCTCATCTCTTCAAGCTCCCCACCTGCAGCATGGGTGAGAGGTCTGAGCAGAAAGCAAGGAGACAAGCCCTGAGCTGTGCATTAGTCTGGTGCCCCTGCAGAAGGGCTGCATGTGCAACTGGCCCCACGCCATCCATCCCTCACAGATCTGGCAAGGAGGCAGGATGCAGAATGCGGATACAGGAGGCAGGAGGCAGGAGGCAGGAGGAAGGAGGAAGGAGGAAGGAGGAAGGAGGCAGGAGGCAGGAGGCAGGAGGAAGGAGGAAGGAGGAAGGAGGCAGTAGCAGAAGCACCAGCCGGCACGGCAGGACAAAGCCACCTAGTGGGGACCGCGCTTACGGCGGCAGAAGCCTGGCTTTGGCTGGAGGGTGCAATTTCGCCTTGCCTTAACGATATAATCCCTGCCGCAAAACGACTTCTGTCGGGCTAAACCGCAGCTGCAGAGGGGTTTTGCTCTTTCAGCCACGTCAATTAGAGGTAGATGCAGGATGGAATTTTCAGGACACCAGGGAAGATATTTCTGGAGAGTCCTAAAAGAACGCAGCACATATTCCTACAACCATTCTGAGGCATGATGAATAAAAGGCATCAAGTATATGCTGGGGAGAGGGCGGGGGGAAGGCGGTTGGGGGTTTCTTTGTTATTATTTCCACAGATAGTTTGGAAAGTGAGGTATCACCACTGCATCTTTTCTTCCCTTTCCTCTTCAAAACTAGTCATCAAGAAACCCTGTGGTTTTGGCACATCCAAAGATGTTAGGGGCAGCACTGTGGCTTGGCACTGGAAGTCACGCAGGAAAGGATCCCAAATAGGAAAAGGGAAGAAAAAAACCCAAACAACAAAAAAACAAACCCACAATCCGAAACAGTTTGGCATGTGATACACTCTAAACAGATTATGGCTGAACTCTATGATCTACACTTGGACTTGATGACTTCACAGAACTTTTCCAACACAAATTGTTCTATGATTCTCTGAAATCTGGCATCTACCCACACAAGTTAGAAAGAACATATCTTACAGGAAGACCAAGAGCTTAAAGAAATGATGTCTAACCATTATGTCAGTTAGCACCCAGAGTAGGCCTTTGACTTATAATTGTTTGCACTCCTTTAATATTTTCTACATGTGTAACCCTCTTTACAACTAGCTGATTACAATGACTTTCTTAGAGGAATTGTATCTCTGGAGAAATTTACATTAAACACGCTCAAGTATCTTCATGACTCCAGTCACACAATTTCAGTGTCAGGTTTCTGCATCCAGCCACTAGATATACATAACTTTTCATGCATGAAAACTTCAGTACCTGCCTAGAACAATAATTTCTTACTTCATCCTGACAATTTGTGTGCATGAATGTGGGCTAAACATTTTATTTCTACATTTCCAAGAAAAAGAAACTAAGAAATTGTCAAGGAGTATAAACAAACCCTGTGTCATTGTCATTTACCCTTACAGAAAGTCACACTTGGTGATATTTATTTTCCACTGTCCAAAAACAGTGGTAATGTCTTAATGCTTGGCAGTCGCAGTATCTGATCCCCTGCTGTGTTCCTTTCCCTTTGTCCTGCCAAAGCTAAAAATTTGGAAAATGGAACATCTTTTGAAACTGTTTTGGCTAATGGCTTGTTGATGAGAAGGGAGGAATCTGTCTTTAATACTAAGCAGTACTGAAATTCTTTTTAGTTTAATGCTTTATACATTTAACTTTAGTTGTTGTGTAATTGTACAAATAAAATCTAAAAAAATCTCATAAATGTTATAAAGAATGGAAGCCATCCTAGCTATATTTTACCATGCATGGAATAAAAAGCTACTGTGCATTTTTTCCTCTTCTGTGACTAATTTTTGTGTAATACATGTGGAAGTGTCCATTTAAAGACCATAACTGTAGGCAGTATATTCCTTTGCCTCAGAGGACAAGGAAATGATTCTCTGCATATCAGATTGGGAAAAAAAAATCAAGAGCTCCAAGACTTGCACACTATCCTGCCTCACAGCAGGATCAACAGCATCATCTTTGTGTATACTGCAGAGTACAATGTGACACACTGCACCAACGTGCTTAATAAGACTTGGAAAAGAAACAGGGGTTTGGGAGGGAGAGTGCTGTGGTCCACTGACATCACCAGAGTCTCCAGACTGGATGGTAGCCATTATGATCCACGCTGGTGTGGGGAGTTCACATGAAAGGGATGCTTTTGCAAGTGTGAACTTCCCAGGGGATAGCCACACAGGGTGATAAGTAGAGGTGTACTGTGCCTTTCCTCCAGTTTCGGCCTCAGAGAGAAGCTGCGTGTGAGCACAGGGCTTTGCTGAGAACAGTTGAAATGGTTAATTCCACTGTCTGTAGTAGCATCAGGCAAACCCCAAATCAAGTCCAGAAGAAGCAAGAAATGTGAGAAAATTGGAGGTCTTGCTGAAAATGGAAAAATAAAAGAGAACTGCAGCCAGAGCAGAGTATGTCCTGATAAAATCTAAAAGGTAAAGTCCGTGGGAATACTCCATTGCAGGCCCAGATACAGCCAAACACTTTGGAATGAGAACAGTTTCTTACTTTATACCTTCGTATTCTATAGATAAGAAGGATTAAGGAAAGGAAAATGCAAGAAAAAGAAAATTAAAGGATTTCCTACTAGAGTTGTTTGGCATGGTTCTTATGGAAGGACTGCAATACGTTACTGTTTATGTGCTTCCAGAAAAATGAATGCAGTGTAATGCCAATACTATAACTCCATATAAGTACACTTTAAAATACTAAACCTAAGCGAAAGGATCAAATCGTTGCCCCCAAAATGTAATTTTAAACACGTACCAACATAAATAACACTACTACTGCACATTTTAAAGCAAATCTGAAAGGAAAAACCTTTTGTCAGTGAAAACTAGGGTTTAACACAGTGTTTTTACCAGCAAACCAGCTGTAACAATAAATGAAAGAAATACATTTTTTCGTCAGCAATAATATGCTTCAAAGGTGCAGTTAGACTGGATACCTGCAGTTTACTGGTATTAAAGAAGGGTGGCCTCTGACCCTCTGCTTCATAATTCACCACAAGCATGCAGGTATCCAGCGTAAGTGGCCATCATTTCACATGGTATTACTCACTTACAAGAATAAATCACTACGACTGGCCCTGCATCTCTCTCTGGGCCAGGGTACCCAGCTAAGCAGGAGGGAGGGCGGGAAGAGTCAGTACTCTTTCGTTTCCTGAGCTTTCCAGGGAAGCACAACCTCCCTCGTGCTTCAGTTCCCTCATCGATGAGCTGGCATCTACCTCCTTTCACCAAATTATTGGCAGCTTCTTTCAGACTATCTCACTGGAGGCAGACTTTCGGGGGCGACGAAACACAGATGCGCTTTCCCCTCCTGTGTCCTCTATTTATTTACTTATTTATTCTCTTCAGAGATTTTCTCTCTTCAGAGAAGGGGACCGAGCTCAGCCCGCTGACCCACGGCGGCCACGGGGTCCGGGACGCCCTCGCCCCTCTCTCGCAGGGCTTTGCAGTCCTTCGCCGTTCCTTCCCCCGCGGCCAGGGAGGCGAGCGGAGCCTGCGGCCGCACGGGCGCTGCTCCTGCACCCGCGCAGGAGCGGCCGCGGGTCCGCCACTCCCGGCCGGGGGCCAGGCACACCCCGCGCCCGCTCCGCCGGGAAAGGTGCTGCTCGGGAGCCCGTCTGGGCGCCCTGGAGTGGGCCAGGGGGCACGCTCCGCCGGCAGAGAAGCTTTCGCGTTATTTTAAGAGGCGAGTGGGGGGCGGGTTTGATTTTCCCTGCCTTCTGCTGTTAGGTATGAATGAATTAAATTTCCGTGTCAGGTATGAGAAGGGTAGGAGAATATTGTGTGTAGATAAACCTTGCCACCCTCTGCCCCTGAGAGACCCCCATATACAATGTAGAGATGATGAATAGGCGCTAGGAGAGGAGATCGAAGTTCAGTCCGCACCGGCTCCACTCTCTCCTACAAAACTATAGGGCAATTAATTGTGGCTTGTCCCCTCATCCTTCATCTCCTGGTGGCACATATCGATGGAGATTACTGCTGATGGACCATTTTATCACCCTAAATAAACAGTCACCACCTTCTCTAACCTCAATCTAATGTATGGCTATCTGCTATGTTTAAGGGTGCTGGATAACTAATGATGTAAAATAGCTAAATCATACAGGTTACCAGCAGTCCAGAGGAAAAAAAAAAAAAATATTTTCCACACCGATCCACTTCACAACGTGTTATATATACGCTGTCTCCCCATAAATTGAATGGGAAAAGGCGTGCAAAGTGCTTGGTCGTGTGACACTTCAGTTTTACACAGAGTATTTATTACAGTGGCAGGTTAGTGCCTTCTGCTGAAGGTGGAGGAGTCTCGGAGTTCTCCGTGCGGAAGCGTCTCCCTAGAAGCTAGGGGCAAGCCTCCAAGGAAACAAGCTGGTCCCGCAGCCCCCGGATTCACCGAAGGAGATCTCCTCCTGGCCGCCCGAGCGCCCCTCCCCCAGGGCCCAGAAATACCCTCGTCCTTCCAGATTCAAGGCTGAGAAGCAAAAGGTCCCCAGCCGCCTGCCACATTATCGGGGCTTTAACATAATCCCCTTCCCTGGGAGAAAAAACTGCTGGGCTCTAATTAGGGGTTTGTCTCTTGATTGCTTTTTTTTAAATTTTTTTTTTTTTTTCCTAGCTAACCTTCTTTCAAGTTAAAACAATTACATACAGACGCTTAACCCACAGCTCCTAGGCGGCCCTCGCCCCCCTCCCTCGCCCTAGACCGTGCCATATTCATTGATACTTGACGATCAAGGCGTGTGTCTGTTGGGGAACCGCCGCCCATCCATCTTCCCGCGGCGGCCGCTCGGCGCCGGGCCGGGCCGGGCGCTGGGGAGCGGGGCCGGGCGGGGCGGCGGGCGGCCGGGACAGCCTCGGCGGCCGCTCGGACTGCCCCGGCCAGCCCGGCCCCCGCCCCCGGCCCGCCGCGGCCCCGCAGAGCGGCCGGGACCTGCGCGGAGCTCGCCTGTCCCGAGAGGATGGGACCTGTCCCGGAGAGGAAGGGGGTGCTCCGGATGGAGAGAGGGGTGGTATTGGGGAAAGTAGGGGAGACGGGGCACTCGCTCGGTTGGTGAAGGAGTACAGCTAAGATTAGAGCCCGAGAAGCAGACGGAGGCCTGCTGAGCCCGGCAGAGGAGCAGACCGACGCCCCCGCTCTGGGGAGGGGATTAATCCCGGCGTGCGGGTGTCTGTGCAGGGCTGGGGAGAGCCCGCCCGTCTCGGGATCTCGGTGGGGCTGTCCGGAGATGGAAGTGAAGCAAGCAAGTACAGCTCAAACTAAAGCAGACGGCTCCTGATCTCACCCACAGCCCCCACCTCCTTCCCCTCAGACGGGCTGGGAGCGATGTGAAACGGGAGTGAGAGTGGGAGACGAGGCGCTGGGAATCCCGGTGCCCACGGGCCGCTGGCTGACCCCGGCGGAGCTCGGGGAGCCGCGCAGGGACAGCCAGGCCCGTGCCCTGCCGCTTGTTCCCCTGGTCGTGCTTGGAGTGCGTGGCACGGCACAGGCTGTAAGTTGCCGCACTCCTTCTTCACTGACAGTTTACTTCTTTCTTTTTTTTATTTTTTAAAAGCACGACTTGCCCAAAGCAACTGCACTTGGTCCCAGAAGATTGAAACACTCGCGTTGAAAGTTTCGCTCAGAGGCAACTAATAAGCGTTGGAGTGAAAGCCGCCCTGTAAACAAGTAAATTATAAGAATGTTTAGATCTAGCTGGAGGGGGTGGAGGGCGGGGGGAAAGGGCGAGATGGCGCTGGCTGCCCTCTGCCCATCCTTCCGACGGCGACGGCTGCCCCGTCAGAGCCGGACGAGATGCACAAGAGTCCTTTCCGCAATCGACCCGTTTGCTTTCCTGAATTCACCTTTAATATCGCGCTCGGGAAATTATTCAGGCTTCGCCTCCGACTCTGCGGGGTGCTGCTATTCCACTCGCTCTTTAAAAATATTAGCCCCCTAAACCGCTTTTTAATATTCCTTTCTCCTTTAAAAACCTTTACCTTTTAGATTTACAGAGCGGCTCCGAGAGGCAAAACATGTACTGTCTGAACGGTTCGGTTGTCAATTAGAAGTGCATTTAGGATTCAATTTTCTGCATGTAATTTATAAGACCACGTTTTCTTCGTGACCCGAGAACACAAAATATACGAACAGGTTTCACTACAGGGTAAAACTAAGCGTGAGGAACTCACTCGAAATAAAGTCGACATCCAATATAGAAAGATTTGCAATGTTAAGAAGGCAGGAAAAATCTCCACCAAACTCCGACTCAACTTTCCTCCCACTCATATGCACAGAGATGAAGATGAAGCATCTATGTATAATTATGTATTAATACATAACCAAGTGTCATGGAAACTTTCAAAGCAAGCTCCTCATCTGAAATTAAATTAAATGAATCCGCGTTTTACTTGGGCGTATGTTTAAGGATTGCTGGTTTGGGGTACCGTTTGTCTGTTCAACAGCCTTCCTTAAACAAACTTTTGGGGAGATTTGTTTTGGTGATTGAGAAGAACAACAAAAAGAAAGAGTTTAAAGAAACCTTAGGATAAAAGAGTGTTTGAAACAATTTTAAAAGTGCATGGGCCAAAGCCATGTGTTTTAAGAGGGACAGATCCGTGTGCTCTGAATGTTAATTATAAAACGGATGAACTAATAGGAGTTCATATAGTTCTTTTCATCCCGTGAATTTCCTCGGTTGCGTCGTACTGATAGATATAGGGGGAAAAAAAGACAGACAGAACCAGTTTCTAAGATTACAAACCTCTCATTCATACAGATGTTTAATAATGGGGGCGCCCCCTCCTCCCAAAAAACCCTCCAAACTGTATAATTGGCGACAGCAGTATAGAACTCTTTATAACCGCCAAGTCCTAAATTAATTCTGACACTCAAGCAGACTTTTTCGTATAGAAAATCGGCTTTTCTCTTTAAATTACCATGTCATGCTTTTCCGTAGGGGTAAAAACTAAAACCAGTGAGATGTTGACGAGGTCTGAAAGGAAATGATACTCCTAGATAAGAAAGAGGCAAACTTTGCCCTAGACAATCTGATGAAAACTGCAACTTTCCTCCCGCTCAGCTCGGAGGAGTAAAATTGATTTCTGTTTCAGTAAAGCTTGGGCTTTCCGGGCGGGAATGGAGCGGGACAAGGCGAGAAAGGATCAGCTTTGTAGGTAGCTGCCCTGAACCTTTGCTGAATCCATTTTCCTAAGCAGCCCTCCGAAATAAACCTACCCCCACCACAGCCTTTCCGGGGAAGCGTGCCTTCCAGGGAAGGACCCGGGTTTCAGACCCAGAAAAACTGCTACTGAAGGGGTGCCGCCCGTCTCCTGAGACAACTGGTAACAGCGCAAAAACTAAAGGAAGGGAAGGGCCAGACGGAGGATGCTCCTCGTGGAGTGAGAGCGGTGCAGGCACCAGCTGCGGTCCCCCAGCCTGGAGCGTCCCCGGGCTGTCCCCGTGCGGGGAGAAGCGGAGGGCAAGGGGTGCAGGAGTGCGAGAAGGGGCACGATACGTACGGTTGTTGGGGTCGCTGGTGTGCTGGTTCAGGGGGATGATCTCCATGCGCTGCTGCCCGTACAGGTAGTAGTCCAGCTCCTCGGCTGTGCAGCGGTACCGAGGGGCACCACGGTCGCCACATTTGCCGCCGCCGCTGCCGGCCCCGCACAAATCCTTGCCCTGCAGGGGAGCGGGCGCTCCGCCGGCCGGGAGCTCCGAGCTCTGCAGCGGTCCGAAGACCGGGAGCTGGGTCACAGGCAGGGAGGTCAGACCAGCCAGAGAAGCCGCCGCCGCAGCGACGCAGGACGAGGTGGAGGAGGAAGACGGAGTGGACGAGGAAGAGGAGGAGGAGGCGGAGGAGAGGGAGGTCGGGCGTTGGCGGAGATTGTCAGCCGAGGGCTCGGCTCTCTCGGGCGGCTGGAGTTGGGCGAGGGGCCCGCTGCTTTTGAGTTGGCTGCTCTGCGGGAAAAGCTGCTGCCAGTGCTGCAGATAGGCGGGATCCACCTTCAGGAACGCGGATCCGCCGGGGTCCCCGGGCTTCAGCATCGCTCTGCCTGTGGAGCGGGGAGAAAGGGAACAGAAGACGTGAGACCCCCGCCCCGCCCCGGCAGGGCCGCCCCGACCCCGCGGTCGGACACACGCTCGGACACACCGGGCCACGCGTGGGCTCTGTGCCGAGGCTGTGCGGGATCGGCGGCGGAACCGTGCGCCCGTCGCTTCCCCTGCCCGTGGCCAGGGTCTTCAGGAGAAAACGTCGTCCCGAAAAGCCCCGGGACGAGAAATGTGGTGGCCAGGGCCACAAGGCTGTTCCCCGGTGCCCGCCCCCGAGCACGGGCAGGACGCGGGCGGTGGTGGGCTGCCCCTCACGCCACAGAGCCGCCCCGCCGCCCCGCAGGGCGAGCAGCTCACCCCGTCCCCGGAGCACGCACTGTCCTCCCTTTTCACTGCCTTCCCTCTCTGCGCGGAAGCAAACGATTCTCCCCTGACAACAGGGAGGAGGAGGAGGAGGCGGAGGAAAGTTCAGTCACACGCACACACGCGCGGGGCTCTCCTGTCCGGCCACTGCTGTTTTCCACTCGGGCGTTCACAGGCGGAGGGCGCGGGCCGGCAGTGCCCTGCCCCCGGGAGAAGGTGCCCGCTGTGCCGGACAAGTCGGAGGGGCCCCGGCCCGGGTCTGCCTTACCTGAGCGGGGTGAGCGCTGCTGCGCGGGAGGCGTGCGTAGGTATCAGCTGTCCGGGGAGCCTTCGAGCCGGACAACGGCCGGGAGCAAAGACTTCTCTGGTCTTTGTCTACGCTGGAGCGGGGTGATCCTCCTCCAGGTGCCGGGGACCGGCGGGCCGGCTAGCAGAGAGCCGCCGGGCTCCCTCTGCTGTGGCTGCGCATCGCATTCGCGGCCGGGCGCTCGCCTCGGCTCTGGCAGGCTCTGGGCAAGACACGTGGGTTTTACGACAGCGCAAAATACAAGTGTGTGTGGTGTGTACGAGAAGGAGGGGAGGGATCGGGAAGTTACCAGCGAGTCTGGATGCAGAGCTCTTTTTTTGGCAACTTCCCCCACTTTGTTCCTTGCTCAACTTTTAAAGGTGCCCCTTTCTTCCCTTCCTTCCTCTTCCCCTCCCTCCCAGCCTCCAGCCTTCTACCTCTCTCT